TCCGTAGTGCCACAAAGTAAATTCACCGGCGAGTTGTGAAGCTCAGCGTCTGTTGTGCCACAAAGTAAATCTACTGAGTTGGGTAGTTAGGGCGGCCGTTATTCCACAAAGTAAATCTACCGAGATGTGAAGCTCGGTGGCACCATTTCATCATGACTTGTGATATTTTCGGCACTGGACAAACGAACATTTTAGCTCTGTGTTATTTATTCCGAAAAACGTGACCAGCCCACATTAGCGCCACTCAAGCCACTGAAATCAATACACTCGACCAAATTACTGGAAAAGTTATTGACGTGAGCCGCACACACATTCCACTGAAGGCTTTGATTATTCCCTTGAAACGTGGGAAATTAAGAGGTGTAGTGTAAGTGAACCAGTGTTAAAACATAATCATTATGCCCCGGCATTCACCACAAAAATGTGGTTTTGGGTCGTTCTTTAATATCATCACAAGTGAAGAAGACTTACCAGTAACCGTTACCGGCATTTTATCTCGGTAAATTTCAGTAATTGTCTACAAGTGGAATTCCCAATATTAAATAAAATTAATGATTACATCTAAAACTTTGTCAACCGTTTGCTTTTTAACAGTACTTGGGCCAGGTTGTTCAAAGCTGGGTTAAGATAACCCAAGGCTAGGAGGGCGAAATTTGAACTCAGATGTGAAAGCTTCATTTTGCCAACTAGTTGATGATTAGACGCTCTTAAAAATAACTGAGAAAATTATCCAAAGAAAAGTTCTAACAAAAGAAAAAGAAACTCGGGTCAAGCGCTGATAGGCCTTCGAACAACTGCACCATGTAGAACATCTATTGCGCCAGTAAAACAAAAAGTTATTTTTACACGCCCGAAGGCTCTGGCCTGTGTCTCCCCAAAATAACAAGCACTTGAGACGAACCCTACGATATCATGCTGTTCACTAGCCTTCAAAACCTTTTCATTATGATATACAGTTTAAATCGAGGTTTCGTTGCGCGCAACCCTTACGTTCAAAATATGCCATAATCATAGTTATCTATCGCAAGAACCATCCACCCTTTCCCCTCAACTGCTACCTGTACGCCTAGCAAACATATCAAACGCACTCTCCTAAGCTCCGATTACTCCTAGTTACGGTAGACATTTGTTCTCGAACGCCTAGTAATTCAGGAACAAGTCAGAAATTCTGAGTAGGGGCCACACCTTTTTCTCAAGCGTTTCGCAGAGGCCTTACCGCTTGCACATTGTGTTGAGTGCATCCCAACAGGAAATTTAGTTGCTAAGGCCTTATAATATCTTACCCCCTTTAGGTTGGCCATTTTGGTTCACAAGAACAAAAAACGTATCTCTTCGCCATGCTCTAGACTCGGTTTTTTTCACGAAAATTCTGCGAAAAAGAGAAATTCATCGTTTTTCAAACAACATGGCCTTCTTCGGACCTGTTCACATTTTCCTTAGACACCAATGTTCATATAATCTCTGCCTCTACTTCTGATAGAAGAGAGCTTTTGAGGATAATCACTGGTGAGTGCTTAGATATGAGTGGTAAAAGGGATTTGCCCACCTGGTGTCTGGAAGTAAAGATATAACAGAGAATGATGTCTTATGGTGCGGTGTCGACTAAGGGAGAGATTTTTCAAATCATTTATCTTTTAGCGCTTGCTGTTTATCAAAGCAACTTAAGAAAAAGTGTTTTTTTCAGCTGTTTTCCTTGTAAAATAGTGTTCTTGTACTCTTTATGTGTTACCTATAGTTATTTGCTAATCGATCGGCCGTGTTCATCTTGCGAGAAAAGAGAATGGTTGCAGAAAATTGTTCTTCTTAATTCTTAAAAATGTTCTATGCAACCAGGCTCCAATTTTGAAGCACGGATTGGTGCTGTGCCTCAACAGAGGAAAACAAACAAACCAAAAAAGACAAAACAAGACAGAAAAAAACAACAAAAAAACAAAGACAAAACAAACAAAACAAAAAAGTATTGTTTTGAAACTCAAAATACTCGCTTTAATTGTTCAAGAAAATATATTTTAACATGCCCCATATAACACAAACAAGAGTTGACAAGGGTTTTACTATTCCCTAAAAATAGATTTCACTTCATTAGCCTTAAGAGGCTTTGACATTTATTAGCGTTTACATCTGTTCCCGGCAGCCAGACTTTACAAAGGAACTATTTCAATTAAAGTGCACAAGGGCAAGAGAAGATTTGGAGATTTATCCTTCTTTCACATAAGAAGCTTCTTAAAGTAGAATTCTAAAAAGTTCGCGAATCTTATAGCGTAAAGTTCAAATTTTCAAACAGAACGTCTGAATTTTAATAGTCACATAGCAATATATATCTAAAAGAACTCCAGTTCCTAAGCAGTTTCATGATTCACGCATGTGCAACGGAAGACCTCCTTCTAGAAAACTCTCATTTTAGTATGGGACATTTTTGAATCTGTAAAGTATTGGTATTAATCTACGAAGATATCTTTATCGAAAGAACGTGATAAGTTTAGTCACCTTGCTGCTGAACAGTTTTAATTCAAAATTTATCTTTGATCGAGTCATCAGCAGTGGATACTGATCCATGGACAGTATAAGCTAGTAAATAGTATAGTTATTTCATTGATCCGCTGTCTGTTAAATATTACGTCTTTTGATTTCTTTTAACAGTGGGCGATTGTCAGGTGTGGTAAAACATAATTACAATTTTCATGTTTGTTATGACAGCTATTATAGTCTTATTATTACGCAATTGACTTTCACCGAATAGAATTTACTTCAGCTTGCGAGCGAGAAGGCGAAAGATGAAGAACTGTCAGAGGGCATCCATGCAACTATGACCTGATGAGCTGCTAAATAGACACAAAATACACCCCTTCTCCGGATATTTTGTCATTCTAATCAGAGTCGTAAGATTTAAAACTTGTCAATCACGTTTTAAGCTTATCTACCTAAAACTGAATTCCCACGTGTGTTTTGGTTTATACGTTGTCCTAAGTGGGACTACTTTTTTTTCACATCTCATATAACTGACCAAAGATACTGCTACTCTGTTGGTAGTAGAAGCGATATCTTATCGGAAATTATGGATTCATTAGTTCCTTTTGACAAACAAATCGACAATGGTACTTGTATGGCTGAAAATTTTTAATTTTTTTGTAAAATTTCATTTTCTCAAGCAGATAATATCAACGGTAAGAAAGTCACGTGCTATAAAAGACCGAATTTCGGGCTCTTTTTCCTAAAGGTTCGCAGAGCAGCCAGGTTGGCTTCAGCGCATGGGTCACGTGTCTTGATTACACCGCAATTGTATTTTAACTGTCAACAAATCGGCAAAACTAAGGAGACATAGCCAGTTAGAGTGTGATTAGCATCAACAAACACAAACCTACTTTTGAGAGACTAACTTGCATCGAACATGCTGCGCTCACTTCGAACGTGTCAAAACAAAGCTTGCCATATTGTTTCCTAGTTCTACCGAAAGTTTGCCCAAACACACCGCGGAGATAGAACAACTGTGCGGGCTCTACACAGACCGCAAACATGTCCTTGAACCGTGCTCTGTTCTGGCTCGTATATGGATCAACGTTGTTTTTTGGAGGTAAGTTTAACAAGCCTCTCTTATGTTCATATTAAGGTTTATGGCGACCACGAGTGCAGCATTGTGAGCGAGCATTGAATACCTGCTGACTATGCTATATTACTTATCAATATTGCAATCAAAAAAATGAAAACTTTTTTAGGAGGTCTACAGAAGCTTACAGAGCACATTCGAAATTTTGTGTTGATTTCCATGCAGGTACTCTCATGATCTTATTAAGTCTAAAGCGTAAATGTTATAATACAAGGCTAAAGCATTTTGGATAATCATGTTTGGAATTTATAAAGCTTACTGGGTTTTAGAGGAAACATCTTTTTTCCGCCCAAATTAGATTAATAGATGCAGATTCGCTTCCTCTGATATGCGAGAAATGGAATTCTGTTTACATGGTGAAACAAAATTGCGCCCTACTCATTCTTTTTGTTAGTGGAAAAAATAGACAGCACTATCTTTTATATAACTTTAATTTTATACACATATAGTATCACTATTTGCATTAAAAAAGTAAGTGGGGTTTTCTATAGACATTCTGGGAATTGCGCCAGATGTTGAATGGACTTAACATTCCCTCCACGTTTATTTTGCCGAAAGAACAAAAAATATACTTACAAGAATGTACCGAAGTGAGCGTATTTATTTTTCCTCCTTGACGAAGATAATCAAATATTTATTTCTTGAATGCACTAAATAAGATAGAAGACCTGTTTGAGGGCATTGCCGCAAAGCGATTCGTGATTCGTGCTGTGTGCTCTAAAGAATCCCCGAGGAGCAACATCGATAATGCTAAGAAGAGACTTGAGGTAAAAGCTGGGATTAATTATATTCTAAACCAGTGTATTTTTATGAAGCTGGAGCTCGGTTTTTAGAGATAAGTATAAAATAATATCTCCCCACATCATGGGTTTTAATCACTGCATGCCTGAAAGCCCGTCGGCATGCGTCTACTAACTTACTGTGTTTTTTTTCATTGCCTGGAGGCTAAAAGAAGCGAAAAACGTGAAAAGTTTAATTCCTTTTAATCCCTCGTCACTGATATCCAAGAATAATGAATTGTAAATAAGATAGCCTTATGTTTGTGCACGTTATTGCAATTGGGCGATTAATGAAAGAAAAAAAAAAGAATCCTCAGAATATTCCCTGTATTCAACCCACTAATAAAGTGACTTGATTCGAGATATCGGGGAAGTATTTCTCTTTTGCAGTCGTGGGCGGAGAGCAGATTTATTGTTTTGTGAAAGAATCGTTAGGTAGTTATCAGTTCATATTTACCGCTGATAGCCAATCGGTTTGGGAGGGATGTTATTGGAAACAACCTTTGTGTCACGAACAATGAATCTTTCAAGCAAGGACTTTGTCTGGTATTTTTTCTCTATAATGTTTTGTCGTTTACAGTCAAGGTTGATGAGGCCATTCGCCACATTCGCACTTATATGTGAATTGTAGTTTAATCGAGGGTGGTATTTGTGTAGCACAACTGGACCGTCGGGTTCGTTTCTTTGTTTCCTCTGTAGATAAGCTTTCGCCTTAAAATAATTACCCATTCAATTAAAAATAATTTGTCTGTGATCCTGAAAGACAGCTTCATAAAGAATTTCGATTATCGAAAGACAAAGAGTAATTAACTCCGACCTCATGTACAAGAATGAATTCATATGCAAATCAAGTTAAGCTTTTTGGGCTCGTAAGGTAAACAAAAGCTTATTTCGGTCTCGTTTACTGACCCTTTCGCGTCTTGAACGTCATAACTCAAGCTAAGTGTATTTATGTTGAGTAATATATTGCTCTTGTAGCTAAATCTTATCTCAACTAAGTGGGAAAACTACATATTATCACTTTCGAATTAATTTTACGTAAACTGAGTTCAGTGCTTTTAATATGCCAGGGTCATAGAAATATGACTCATTACGAACTATAACAGGAAGTCGAGGGAAGCCTTTGAAAAAAAAATTTTTTTGAAGTATTTTGATTTAAAAGTAAAACAACTGGCTTTTCTTCAGAACAATACCAAAGTGTAATGGTTTAATAAATTATAAGAACGAACAAGCCATTGACTACAAAAAAGCCTAATTTCAGGGAAATACTGGTTGGGGCACTGGTTTACGTTAAATCGAAATCATTTTTGGCGTTCAAACACCTCTTACAGGTATTCCTAAGGCATATCTTCGTTTCAGAGAAATTTATGAAAAGAAAGAATGCAAACAAGCAATTAAAAAATCGCGGGATGTTTTCATTAGTTTCTGATCGCCTTCAACTTCCTTCTGGTGTTCATTGGTCGTAATTCTGGTAAAGAAAGGTTATTGATGTGTTAGTAATGTTACCGCCTATCAGTTATCAAGAGCAGAGGAAGTTGATAAAAGCCTCGGAAACTGCAATTCGTCGTAGAAATGACACATACAAACCGCGTTAAAAAGTCTATCTTCAGGAATATTCTAAGCTGCGAATAAAAACTGAATTCTTGCAGTTATTGCCCTTTTTTGACTTACAATATGGCAATAAATGTAAGACGATTATTTTAGAAAATATGTATTTGGTAAAGAGATGCCAAAAGCCATGGTAAAACAAGATTATTGATGTGGTAATAAACATTTTTTGCACCGGAATGTGGCTAGCCTCAGGCCAAAGAGGTTCATTGAGGTTGTCTACCGGTCATATTGGGCACTTTTATTATCCGGAATCAGTGTTAAAATAACATGATGTAGCACGATAAGGATGGGGAAATTCTGTCTTAAGATTTAAGGCATTGTATTAAAAAATGTCGAACTTCCGAAGAATTGTTCAAAAGGAAAAAAAAAATGAATAAAACCGGAGGCAAGGAGTCACCTCAATTCGAATACGGTGCTGGACTAAGAATGTTGGAAATTATTGTTGCTCTTGATTAAAATACGTCACCCCTCTTTCTTGCATGGTTAAAGGTCGTAACACAATCGGAAACCTGCCGATGCAACACGTCGCTGCGACAAACCACTCCATGAGTACCGGTCGGGCAACAAGTCCGTGTAAAATACGTTGCGGTGGCACATCCTAGCGACAAATCTCTTCGCTTGTCCTGAAGAACTTTTGTGAAAAACTTTGTCTCACGCGACAGAATTTTGTCTTCACCGCGACAAACTGCAAAAAATCAAATCAGTTTGAATTTATGTCCCAATGTCGCGACGACAAAATTCTGTCATAGAGACAATTGTTTTCTGCAAAAATTCTCCAGTGAAAACGACGCAATTCATCGCTGCGACGTGTTTCAGTCAACAGTGTCGCGTGCATGGGTGTGTTTCTCCTTTGACCTAAATGTGGCGTTCCAAACCAAGATTAGCTTTTGTTATTTTGTTGTCTTGGCCGGTGTCCTTTTCAGGCGGCTGATAAATCGATCGATATTTTATTAACAGTCAAATCGCAGCTACATGCCGATCCTAGAAAAGTTTAAGTTGAAAGCAAAAAGGCGAAGATTTCCAGTCAAAGCACTTCTTACACAAAATGTTTTTCAGAAAAACGAAGACATTATAATGTTCTTATGTATAATGCATGTACGTGATATAGTATTGTACCTTATGAAAATCGTTTTCTATTTTGGACATCTTTGTCGTCTTTGAGTGGAGATCCGGAGTAGTTGCTAAAGAATTATTTGTTAATGGCACTAATTGCCTTTTGAATGCTCGTTGTTTTAAAAATTAGTATGAGTGAAATGCCTGACTAGTCTGGAGGTAGCTCTAAAATTAATCTTGAGAAGGAACACGAACAGACTAAGAACGAATTTATAGATCGATCGAAGTGCCGGGTAATTTTATTTTCTTCACAATTTAGCACCTAAAAGCCACGTTTAGAGTCGGTATTCGTCCTCTTGTCCTCGTCTGTTTTATCGCTGAAAATATATACAGTGTAGGCAAAGAGCCTCATCCAGCTGCCATCATGAACCAATTTAGCTGCCCACTTCTTGTTTGACGCTTTATAATACTTCCTTTAAGCCGTTTTTGGCCTTAAAGCAGGAGGAAATTGAATGGCTAAGACTGGTTTTGGTAATGTTTTCTTAGATGTAGCTTATTCTTTGCTATTGAAGAAGTGCTCCGAATGACACAGGAAAAGGAAAATTAAGAACATTACGCAAGTCGTGACCACCACCGCACATCTGAATTGCCTCTTGATGAGCAAAAAAGCCCGTATTAAACCTGACAAAATTCTAAGGAGTGGTAAATACATGGCACGCTCAAAAATTCGTTAGATTAGTTTGCCAATGAGGATTACTGTGTAGAAGTGATTGTATGGGATCAGATCATACGCGACTCAGTCCAGAGGACCGTTCTTGAAGCTAGCAAGGCTTACTCTCTGGATAAAGAATCATTTTAATCACAACAATTTCATAAGTAGAATCAGCCGCACTCAAAACAAAAAAAACTTCAGGTACTCGTTTCTCCTAAGGACAAACCACGCAAACGTATGCAGTTTGATCGACTGTCAACACTGCACTCCAGGCGAGGCTGAGCCAAACTGACCAGCACAATAACTCAGCTTACAAAAAATAATTTAATTGAAATTATTTGCTTAGCATACACTATCACTGAAATGCTTTATTTACTATTGCCACTTCACGAATATTACGACAAATTTTCTCAAATAGTACTGTGTAATGTATAACCTCTTTCTTGTCCTTTTTTTTTCCTGACAAGGTACCAATGCGGTGAAGTCAAAATACGCATGTGAGAATAAAAAGTTGAGACTGGAATGCCAAGATCCCTTGACGATCCGAATATACACGGCAAAATTCGGACGCCTGGAGGCTGGAAACGCCATCTGTCCACATAAAAACATTAGTAATCTGAACTGCCAGGCGCCAAATACGCGGGATAAAATGATTGAGAGGTGCACGCACAGACGCAAGTGTACAGTCAGAGCAAATAGCACATATTTTGGGGATCCATGCCCCGAGACTTACAAGTACCTGGACGTTATATATGGTTGTGGTGAGTATTAATTTTGTTTTCTACTCGTCTAATCTCAGAAGTTTATATAAACGCAGGTAAAAAACAGAATAACAATGTGTTGTACTCTCTTTTTGGGGCCAAATGCACACCATGGGTTGAACCCTGGTGGCCAAAAATCCAAGTGAAAGAATGGAATTACGATTAAATTTTGTTTTAGGGTGTTTCATATTTTTTTGATTATGTGAGTTAATATTCCGATCCAATGCAAGGTTATTCGTCAAAGCGTTAGTGGTTTCGGTTCCATTTCTCGGTCTCCTCTGTATGATCATTTGGTATTACTAACAATAAAATGGCAAACCGAAAGTCAGGCACAATACTGAACTTGTACGATACCTTATGTTTCTAACCATTCTGATAAATGAAAACGAAGGAAAAAAGATGCAAATATAATCTTCTGGGCTAGACTCTTTTCTCGTACTTTTATTCGAGTACTGTGCCATCTGGATCAGGCGCGTAGCTGAGGTTTGAGAAGGGGTGTTTGTACTGATGCGAATATTTCTTAACAGCGTGAAATACTGCGAGCGCCAAAGTTCGAACCTCTAGGACTTTCTTGGGGCAATTTGCTCTCCCACAAAATGTTGAAATCTAGAAACCTGGAAATGCTATTTTCAGTAGTCTCCACGTGAATATTTCAAACTCGATCAAGTCTAAAACAACAGGTATTTTTAGTCGTAACAACAATATTTCCGTTTGACTTGGAACATTCATACATAGTGATACATACCGGCTAAGTATACGAAACGTTTTACAAAACTTGACGTGTGCTGCAAGGTATCTCAGACCAAAAGCTTAAGGTCTCGGTAAAGGAAAACGAGACGCCCACAGAAAAAAATTCTAGTCGCGCAAGTATTTTCGCTACAAAGGCCAGTTATATATCAAATTAAAGCTAAAAGACTAAATTACCTCATAAAAGATTTTATTTTATCGAATTTTTAAAGGCGCTTAAGTTTTTTGCTCCCGAACTCAGGGGTATCGACTTTACTGCTGAAGCTCCAGCCCTTTAGCCCCAGCGCGTTGTTAAATATTCACTTCCTTTTTATTGCATCTGATTGACAGATAAAAGACCTAAAAAAAGGTGTGAGGAATTTTCCGATTTCCCTTTGTAACTCATTTTATGGCAGTTTTTTTTGCGTAAATCGCGCTCGAGATTCGACTTTTTAGTTTGAATGCAATAATTCCGCTAATACGAGACATATGCAAATTTCCTCACACCCTTTTTTAGGTCTCTGATCTGTCAATCAGATGCAATAAAAAGGAAGTGAATATTTAACAACGCGAAAGGGCTGGAGCTTCAGCAGTAATGTCGATACCCCTGAATTCGAGAGCAAAAAACTTCAGCGCCTTTTGAAATTCGATAATATAAAATCTTTTATGAGGTAATTTAGTCTTTTAGCTTTAATTTGATATATAACTGGCCTTTGTAGCGAAAATACTCGCGCGACTAGAATTTTTTTCTGTGGGCACCTCGTTTTCCTTTACCGACACCTTAAGCCCCTAGTTCCCCGGCTCCGCTGTCTTTGTACTGAAGGCGGCATCAATCGTCATTATGTATTAAACACGTATCACCTCGGTCNAGTAAAAAGGAAGTGAATATTTAACAACGCGAAAGGGCTGGAGCTTCAGCAGTAATGTCGATACCCCTGAATTCGAGAGCAAAAAACTTCAGCGCCTTTTGAAATTCGATAATATAAAATCTTTTATGAGGTAATTTAGTCTTTTAGCTTTAATTTGATATATAACTGGCCTTTGTAGCGAAAATACTCGCGCGACTAGAATTTTTTTCTGTGGGCACCTCGTTTTCCTTTACCGACACCTTAAGCCCCTAGTTCCCCGGCTCCGCTGTCTTTGTACTGAAGGCGGCATCAATCGTCATTATGTATTAAACACGTATCACCTCGGTCCCCCAAAATCGTATTTCCCGCCTTTCGCCTTTCGAGACTCCATTTGTCAAATCCGGAACGCTTGTTTAGGAAATACAGTATATGGTGGGATTAGTTTGACTACATATAATACTAGGTCATTAGGATATGCTGGGGCCTGAGCATTGGCTACTTAATTATCAACTCACAACAGGACTATTTCGTTTCGTAAAGCAAACTTTGCAATTGCATCATCCTCGGGTGGAGGCCTTCAAATAAATTGACAACTTTGTCAAGATCGATAGGCATATCGTTCTTGATATGCAAGATAGCCAGTGAGGAGAGCCTACTCTAGCCAATGGTACATCTCATGTAATTGTTTAGCCTTCTCATTGTGCTGATTGAACGCTCGCACTTGCACCATGAAAATCCTCCATCTTTGACCAGCAAAGGGGGTTCGTTCGAACCCCTCGGACCCCCCCTCCTACGCGCCTGCTGGATATTCTTGTTGTCAGTGCTGAGCGCATTGCGTTCGGAGGCGTTCACTGGGTATCAAAACGTCCTCCCTTCTCCTTATCCTTCGTGCTTCGAGTTCGCGCTTACTTGCCACACTTTTATCCTTTTCACTTGGGCGGATCCTAACTTTGTTTCAGTCTAGTCGGGTGAGCTAATTTATTTGACATAATAAAGAAATTCTTCGGTGATCCCACAAGAATTTATTTCATCGACAGTTTGGGACCCAACGAAGCCAACGAGAACGACAAGCCATGCAACGAGAGTCACCAAAACGATAGCAGCAACAAGAAGCACATCCACGTTTCAAACTTCACTAAACACGACAAGTAACAGCATAAACGTGAATATCTCAGCCACTAGAACCTGGATAGCAAGAGTGACCACCAGAGGCTCTGTGACCACAGCTTCACCTCCAAAGCCTGCAAAGAAACCAAAAGACAAGGCATCAGGTAGCAGAGGTGAGAAGGAGGGCATTTTGTCCCTGCTGAGATCTCTGTACCTCACATACAGGTTTATCAAAGGTACGCGGTGAAGGAACCTGAGCTCTAGCGTTGTGGTCACGTGAGTCAAGACGAACGTAATGACACACGACATAATTCTTACTTTGATTTTAACATTTACGCATTCCTGTAGATTCATTCTTTAGACAAGAGAGTAATTCTAAAATGCGTTGCATTTATTATCCGTTCCAATTTGTAAACAGTTTCTCATCATAACATCTTACGTTGCCCAAGGCGAAAGAGTTTTGTATTCAGTTTAAGCGGAGAAACACAATTTCCCTATAAGGTTTCTATATTCTACCAGTAAACTAGGAACCTATTGATCATTTTCCCACCTAATCCAAAGCAAAGAAAGATTTAAACAATATTTTCCCTTTAAAGTTTTTTTAACATTCATTCACTTACAGTGTATGAATGTGTGTCATTCATATTATTGAGCGTGTTGGGAAAGGGTAAGAGTAAGAAACTCACGTGACTGTGACGTCAGAGCCAGGGTGGCACTGTAGAGTCATTGTTCTCCATTATCAGCGAAAATTTATGATGCTGTTCTTCTCAATCCACAATGTTTTTTCTGTAAGCCATGAAACAGACAGTTTTGTTAACTATAAACTAAGTTAACAAAAGCAGACAACTTTTTTTAAAACGAATTATAAAATTAACTAAAGAAACATCTTATGAAAATAAAAAATGAATGTACCAAAAAAAAATTAAAATAATAAATCGTCGATGATAAGAGTCTAAAAAAAAATAAGACAAAATTTACTTCTGAGTTCTAAATGAATGTACGGTGAGGAAATTAAGACTTGATTGACGTGGTTATCATTGTTTTGGACAAAGCGCTTCATTTCTCGATCAGGTAATTTTTACCGTTCATAAATAGTGAAGAACCTAGACTACAAATGTACAGTTTTTGTTGAAAATATGGAGTTTCACTGCAAATAAAAATATTTAAGCATCAAACTGTATTCGAGTCCTGACTTAATTCACAAAATATTGCTTATTAATAAATGAAACTGAAAAAGAGTTAACGAAATCGTACCACTAAACAACTCTGAAGAAAACAAGATGAGATTTTCTACTGTGCCACGTTCCCGCGACTGAGGTAAACTATTTTAAGAGGTAATATTAAAGAAACCATTAGGACGCTAAAAGACATATAGAAATTGGTTTATTTTGTATTTGCAAGACAGTGAAAGATCCTGCTACTTTCCAGTTTAAAAGTAATATAAATTGTTCCGGGTACTTAAAATACGTCTATTTCCTAAAGGTTTCTTAATTAAAATTTATTTGCACCTAAAATAATTTAATCGTAAAAATGCTTCATATCCTAACTATTAAAAAGACAGATAACAGGAAAAAAGATTCAACAAGAACGATATCTTACGTCTTAAATATTTCTCTTTTGTGATTGGTATCATGATGAATTAAAAGCAGACGAAGCAAACAAAAGAGAACGAAAAAGAATGGAAGGAAAGTTTTGGGCTTTTTTAAAAGGGTAATAAACTTTAAATCTAACAGTCGTCACCACCATCTTCACCTCATTTTTATTGTTTTGCGGCCACCACTACACACACATCTTTACGATCAGGACTGCACCGCCACCACCACCACCACCACCACCATTATATTTTTATTTTGTTTCGGCATTCGTTGTCGACCCAACGCCAGTGCCACCAACTTTAAAGTCTATAGCCTGCTTGTACTTTTAAGAGTGTTAAATCTTTGAAAGAGATCTTATCGTTAGAGCAATATGAAAATGGTTTTTCAAAGGTTTCACGCTAATGAAGGTGTCTGGCCTGTTATCTTGCGAGTAAGCTCTCACAGGGGAACATTACGTCAGCGTCTGATTAAAAATAAGCCAATCCAGGAGCCTAGGCTCCTGGCCAATCAGCATTTCGCATCCCATTCTGGGGTGCAGATATTCAAATTAAAGAGACGTGAGTGCAAGCTCTCCTTCCCTCTGCCCCTCCCTACCCCCGTTCCCCCCGAGAGCCCCAGAAGAGCTTTCTCGCAGGCTATAAAAATTCAGTAAACTGTTTCACAAAACAAGGTCACCTTTAACCTAGCTTGTATTCAATTATGACCAGGGCACTGAGCACACAACTCTTAATTTTTTTTGGTCTATTTGGTCAGAGCCACGTTTCCTTACGTACTTTCCTTTCCTTGTACGACCACCACAACCACCAAGACTGCCAAGGCCACAAAAATTCTAACGTACAATTCCACTTTTCCAGTTTTTCCAGTTCAACGATTTCTCTAAACTATTTTATTATTGGTATACTTACCCATTCATTTGTTTATCTTTGCTTAAACACAGATAACCCGCGTGATACCCTTGTTGTATTCTTGTCAGTAGTAGCCGGAGGCACGATTGGATTGCTGTCCTTGCTATTAACAATGTACATTGCTAAAAGCTTTCGAAAGAAAAGGAAGCTTGCAAAGGAAAGGAAGAAGGCTAACCAAGGGAAAGATGGAAGCAAGATAAAGAGTGTTACCATAGAAATACAGGGGAATGACGAGGAAACGAAAGAAATCAACATCAATCCAGGAGATATTATTATTATTGACCATAATGATGCCAATCAATCGGGCAGCGAGGACCTTGGTTACCTTTCGGAAATAGTTCGATTTTATAATAGCCAAAACATCGGGAGTGACGATCAAATATCGATAAGAAAACCATTATCCTCTTGTGATAGTCCATCAGTGATATCAACGACTGAGAGTAGAGACAGTAAATATGATTCTTCTGGAATCAACGTCAAACAGTGTACTTGCCAACAAGGGCCGTTACTGCGCCCATCCTCCCCGGTTGAAGAAGAAAGGTAGAGAGTTATTAGAACGCGTTACAAGTAAGCTTGGCAGCTATTCGGTGAAGGCTTCTTAGAAAAGGAAACGGTAAAGGAAAAGATTTCTTATGCTCTTGAATGACGCAGGACCACCAGTCATATAGCAGACGACACAGCAGACTAGGTAGCGGTCATTATGAGATGCCAGTTGCAGCACAAGTTTTACCTGGCATTCGGCAATCCATGAGTTGATTGAATATGCGTCCAGAGGTGAAGAATTTGTAAGGAATTTTATTCCGTGAAATTTGTCTTGATCACGGAAATGGCCTTAAAATCTTTATAACAACACGACTAAGGTCAAATGAGGCTTGCCATCCTCTAGTCCTCTCACCTCTTCCTCCCAACCGAAACAGTGCCAGGTAAACGTCGGGGAATTACCGCAGTTTATTGTTATGTTCTACAGCATGGCATGAGGAGCTTCATGATCTTCCTACTCTACTTGCACGGTTCTTGGTCAACAATTCTAAATTTGTGGTCGATAAGCAGTCCACTCATGTCTGCTGCTGGTGGAGTCACCAGCTCGGTGCAGAATTGCAATTTTCTTGATCAAACGTTTGTTGATATCAATCAGTCACCTCCCTCAGAAATCTTCACGTTTTATTAACATACACCTCACCTCACTGATACATGCACGTGACTTTGTAATTAACACTGCATATTCATTTTTTTTCCTTGGGATTTTTAAGGGTGACCAGACCTTTCTTTGGCAGGTGAATACTGCATTTCATAATACGATAACTTTGCTGCAATAAACATACAAGATTTTGACATTTACCTAAATGGCTTAAGTTCATACAACATTTTTCTCGACTATCTAGTCTGGTCATACATCTCTGGCAGACCTGGGTATTAGCACCTGTATGTATTTGTACGAATATTTTAATACGCATGAATTACTTGGAAAAATATACCTTCACAATACCTGTCTGCACTGTAATAGCGTAGAGAACTAACGTGGGGGGAGGGTGGGGGGTGGCATGGCAGTAAGCGACCTGCTTTACCAAATACACCACTTGCACATCTCCCATAATGCACCTTATTTGCCCCCCAGAATTTTGCCCAACCTTTGTTTTTCTTTTCTCCTGCGTACTACAGCAGTCCCAAGAGAAATTGAAAACAATGCTTATGCAAAATTTTGGGGGGCAAATAAATGGGAGATGTGCAAGAGGCGTGTTCAAAAATACTGCGGATACTCCTACCAAGGTGATAGGGTTCATATTGAATGACACAGATGTAATTTACGGAGAGGCTGGGGAGATGAGAATGAATTTATGATAACCATTGCGGGAGCCTCTGTGGAGGAAAGAGACTAACACCAGAATGCTACTTCAATTTGAGCGATGGATTGACACCTTCTTATTAAACGTTTAATTGGTTGGTTTAGCTAAATCAAAAACCAACCATATTATTTATGTAGACGTTGAAACAATATTGTCTTGTTTTTGCACTCTTTTCGTGTTAATAGACCGCCATTTTCACGATGACAACATTTGACCACAACTACCAGAATTCATTTGGATTTTGTTTTCTTATTAAGATTTGTCAACTCCATTAGCACTAATTTGTACAAGAGAACACTAAACTGAAGGATTCTGATAGTCGCAGTTAAATTTCGTAATTGTGCTATTTTCTTATTGCAGCACTTGTGTAGAATCATAATTTTACCCAGATAAATCGGTTGTTATAATCTTTTATGGTACAATTTATACGTCTTCAGAATGCAGCTTCAGAAAAATACAATTATCACTTAATCAGTGTAATTTGATTTCTTAGAACACTTTCTTCTTTTTTTTTGGATGGTTGATGGTTTGGTATCCATTGCTAAAAAGTGTAGATATCAAATAAAAGTCCAAGCATTGCTTTCTTTTAGAGTCATATAAATATAGTTAGTAGAGCTTCCATTTAACTTCATTGTCTATCCTTGTGGGATCGGTTAAAGGGAGAGAGTTGTTGTTTAAAACAGTCGTGATTTTGTAACTTTGCTAGTGCGTATAGCATAGCCCGCCAACTTCTGTTAAGCGAGTTCAACGAATTGCTGAGGGGTGGCAAAACCATGCCTGGCTCGAGCCTGGCATAACATGTAGATCGGATGCAAAAGATGACTTGAAAAGTGGACTTGTGTAATAACCATTTAAATCATATATCCAACACTACAGTACATAATAACGGTTTTGAAAATGTAAATAGATGGTTATTTTTATGGAAATAAAACTTACTGTTAACATGCATACACTGTACGTTGACTTTGGATTTGGGGGGAAATCAACTTTCAGAAGCACCCAACGACGGTTTCATTGTATTTGAACATGTTCTCCCATCTTATGGAACTTGAGTCTTGCCTTGAGTACTAGAGCTTCACTATTCTTTCACCGAAGGTTTTACATGCAATTTAACATATTACAAAAGTGAGGATTTCGCTGATTCCCGGCTTGTCTCCATCACAATTTTGAATGTGAAATATGTAAGTTTCTTCAAAATGTAGGCTAGCCTGGGAAATGAAATGTGAAAAATTAAACATTAGAAACTCGTACGGAATTTATTAGATAAGCTTCGAAAATTGTAGTGATTGAAACGGTCATCTAGAAATTTTTAGCTTTCTCAAGCAGAGGCAAGTACACTCACACGCGTCAACTGCGTCAGACAGAAACACTTGTTTAGTTGCTCTTGACAAAATATGATTGTCATAAAAGCATTCTATTTCAAATGCGGATTGACAATAACGGCTATGTGCCTGCACCCATTAAGATTTGTTGTTATCATATTTAGTCGAGGCCTCATTATTATTTCATTGGAATCATGTGCATCTTTTGAGCCCACGTGGAAATGTTATCGATCTGGGATTGAAACTACCATGCTTATCTCTGTAAAACACCAACACTCACGCGACAAGTAATAAATCATAAACACAAAAAGCTAGGGGCCTAATTTGGTGCCGTGAGAGACCCGTTGCAGACACATGAAGCCATTCTGAAATAGGCTTGAGTCTGGTTTCTTTTACGTTAGAAGTCCATAAACCAATATCTTGACGTCATCATTTAGATTACATATTTTGATTAAAAGAAGAGTGTGGCCAATTAAATGAAAGACTTTGCGAAAGAGGAATAGAATAGACCCCGTTGTCGCGTCATTACAGTCTCGGTCGATAACACCGTGAGATATATTCATAACCCTCATATAATACAATAGTCGAATTTAATAACTATTTTATTATCCATTAAGAATATTTCCCAAAACATCCTTACCTCACCTAGGACTAACGTTTGCCAGTCCTTTGGTAGTTTGAGAATTTCATGCAAATGTGTTTTTTCTTACAGAAATTTCTTAAACAGCAGTTCATGACACTAGCTGAGTTTTTTTTGTTGCGTATTCTTGCTATCATTTTTAGTTAGTAGTTTGGCTATTTCGTCTGTATATTGTTGTGAACTCTGTCGCCATTTTCTTGAGTTCTGCACTCATTCCAAACCCAACCGGCTTGGCTGACGCCAGTTTTCTTGTATGACGTCTTCAAAATGACACTTGATTGACTATAGTAATTATTGCATTGCATTATCATTGTTATGATTTGTTTGCTTGTTCTTTTTTTTATGTTAAAGCTTTTGCAATACTGTAACTCTAATTATAGTCATGCAAATAAAGCTTATGTTGTTGTTGTTTCTTAAATGACGTCAGTGACAGAGGATTGTGAGAGTCAACAATGGAATAATTGATAGTATCTTCCAAATTTGGTCAGCGCTGCAGGTTGTAAAAAATAAACAGGTGAAGAAAACTGATTGACCGAGAAATATTACCTCACCTAGGACTAACACTTGCCAGCTCCTTGGTGGTGTCAGAATTTTATACAAATGTGTTTTTTCTTACAGAAATTTCTCAAAAAGCAGTTAGTGACATTAGTTGAATGTTTTTTTTTGCGTATTCTTGCTATCATTTTTAGTTAGTGGTTTGTTTTTTTTTTCTGTACATTGTTGTGAACTCTGTCGCCATTTTCTTGAGTTCTGCACTCATTCCAAACCCAACCGGCTTGGCTGTTACGCCACTTTTCTTCACCGACGTCTTAAAAATGACGTCAGTGACAGAGGATTGTGACAGTCAAAGATGGAATAATTGATAGTATCTTCCAAATTTGGTCAGCGCTGGCAGGTTGCGAAAAATACCGTGAGGCAAACTGATTGACGGAGAAATATTTTGATAGCCTGAATTTCATCCGATTACTTCGAGTCGTTATTACTCCCTCAGTAACGTCTATGCTGAGAGGAGAAAACGACTCGAAGCAATCGGATGAAATTCAGGCTTCCGTTGCCTCACTTTGTAACAAAAAAAATTATCACTGTAACACAATGACATTCGTCCAGATTACTATACAGATAGACGACAACGTTGTTGATAAAAATAACCTTGAATTGTTTTGGCTTTTTTCCCAGTTTTTTTTTGTTTTTTTGTTTAAATTTTTTCAAGACTTAGTCAAAAATTGAATGTCTCAACGTAACTTTTAATTTGTGATTTCAGTTTTTATTGACACTGAAAAGCTGATGCAAATTTCACAACGATTCAAAACAACTAATTAAGCAACAATAGTATTGATTATAAATCCTTTTTATGAACTTAGACTGAAATGCAAGGCTAATAAAAAACGGCTAAAATTGGTTCTGACGACTAAATTCTATAATTACCCAACCTAACACATTAAAGAAATACCCTCAAAAGTAAAAAACCAACAGTAAGTGAATTTTATCACCAGCATTTTTTCTTCATGTATTGTAGTATGTCTCACATTTTAATCCTTGTCATTCTTTTTACGATCAGATACTAACAAAGGAAAAGGTACTGATCAATATTAAAACTTCAATTAAAGATTTGAGCGCTTAATATATGTTTCTACTATTCAGATGCGGCTTAAAATAATAATAATAATAATAATAATAATAATAATTAATAATAATATTAATGATAATAGGTTTTTATGGTGCATTTAAAGAAATTCTC